TGGAAATGAGCAAGTTGGACAATAGGAGTAGGCGGTCCCCATACTCCCTGATGGCTCTAACAGACTAAGACAATGATTCCCTTCAAGAATGGACGCTGCTGAGACGGAGTGGGGTCTTCTCAGCGCCTTGATTCACTTGTGGCTGCCCCCATCATCACTCAGAGGACCCAGAGGGACAGAAGCACAATCAACAGACGTTGTCAGAAGATGGATGACAGGGGCTGACGTGTCTGTGAGAATTGGGGGAATTTCTGCTGGTGGCTCCTCAGTCATAAATAAAATCCAGTTCTTTTACCCAAAATCTCACTGGGGGGTGGGGAGGGGTGTAAACACCAGACACCATAATAGTCCGTTTGGCTGTACCTTCCACCCTGTGCCTCACTGCAACGAAAAACAGCAGTCAGACGGCAGGGTAATGGGTCCACCTGCCGCCGCCTTACACACTTCCCCACTGTCACATGCAGACAAGTGAGGCTGAGAGGGAGCAGGCAGTGTGATTTATCTCTGAGATGCAGCCCTGTTCCAACTGCCATCATTCGGAGGCTCTCAGGAAATCCCACATTTGGGGGAGGGATTTCTTGACCCTGGGAGGAGGGGCAGCAACTCAAGGACTTGGGGGAGCCCCAGCACCCTCAACCCTCCTCTTGCCCATCTGTGTGCAGGGCGGCCTGCTGCTAAGAGTGTTTTCTTGACCTACTTCTCTTGTCTCTGGCCTACTCCGGATCCCCCGGGGAGCCCCTGTAATTAGCACCTTTCCATCCTAAGGATCAGGGACTTGTTGAAAGGCCCGGCTCCCAGAATCACCAAAGCCACCGCACAGCAGGCCCAGGCATTGCTGGCCCGGTTTTTCTTTTCTTGTCTTGCACTTGCCAGCTTTTCCTGGGCTGCCAAGCCGGGGATCAGCTGGAAGTGGTCTGGCCTGGGCAGAAACAAGGCGGGCGCATCTTGCCTGAGCTGGGCAAACCGGGGGGGACGAGGGGGGGCCCCCGGGAGGGCCTGTCGGCAGTACTTCGCGGTGTCAGGAGCCAGCCAGCCACGGGCACTGCCGATTCCGCCACTCACTGTTCTGCTTTGCATTAATGACAAATGGAAATGGATGGGTTACTGCTTCCGCCACTCACTCGGAGAGAACCTCGCAGCAAATGCTGGATGACTGTAGGCATCTTATAAATTAAGCATCTTAAGGATATGAACCGTTTTGCATGGCTGCTAAGCAGAATTAAATAAGGTCTTGAAGTTTCATTAGAAATGAACGGGGATGAGGGGGGCAGGGGGTAAAAACACAGGAAGGTTTTTCAGGTGTTTTTCAGTCCTGTTGGTTGGTTGGTTGGTTGGTTGGTTGGTTGGTTGGTTGGTAAGTAGCAGATGGGTGAGCAGAGGGCGGAGCGCAGTGCCGTTGAAGGGGAGGAGGGTGTGGAGCAGCTCCCCGGGGTGGGTGGGCCTGCAGCACCAAAGGCCTAGCCCCTGCCCCAATGGGATCCCTAACCACACCGGCACACTGGCCTCATTCAGGCCCTGAAGGGCCAGTCCTCACGGGCACTGGAGAAACTGGGGAACTTGAAGGGCATCCCAAAGAACCTTGGTGGCATGATGGCAGTTTGAACCCACCAGCCCAGCTCCTGTCAAGACTAGAAGGGAGGAAACTCAGGGCTTACGTCTGCTCTGTGCGAGAGGGCCATATGAGGCTGAATCAACCCACAGGCACACGCCGCCACCGAGGCAATGCCCTGCACGGAGCAGCTAGTCACCTGCCCTTTCAGTCAGCCTCTGACCTCTCTTTCCGTTTCACAGGTGGCAGGCGCGGGAGGGCCAGCCACGTTCACAGTGCATGCACTTTTGCCTCTAGTCTGGGAAGAGGGGCCTCCTGTGGTCAATAACCTGGGCCACTTGCCTGGTGAGCCCCTCAGGACAGCCGTGTGCTCTTGTTCCTGGGTCCTGCTGCTCCCTGGGATGGGGGTTCTTGGGGTCAACGGCCTCCTCGGTTGGATTGCTCACTGGTGTCTGCCCTTTGGGAGCCCTGGTGGCGTAGTGGTTGCGAATTGGGCTGCTAACCACAAAGTCTGCAGTTTGAAACCACCAGCCGCTCGACCGGAGAAAAATGAAACCTTTTATTCTGTAAAGTTGGAATCTCAGAAACTCAGAGGCAGTTCTACCCTGTCCTATATGGTCACTCACTATAAGTCGGCATCAACTTGATGGCTGCAAGTTTGCTTTTTGTTTATTTATCTGTCTTTCTGCCCACACTAACCTCCCCACCCCCACGCCCCTCTGATCCCTTGTGCTCTGTGACTGGGCCATCGGGCGACCACACAGGCCCTGCTCATGCCTCAGGCTGTGGTTAACCAGAGCCCTGCAGTCCCTCCAGCAGTGAGGGTGGCGATGGGCAGGTATCAGCACCCCTACCCACACCAGAGGGAGCACCCGGCAGAAACCATGATTAGCCAGAGCAGCTGATGCCCATTGACGCTGAAGAAGCCCTGCCCACCCTCTCCAGAAGCAGGGCCACGGTCACCACACAGACACTGGTTTCCTCCAGAGGCAGGGCATGGGAGACACCGGGACTCCTTGGGTTGCCCAGAGGTGAGCAGAAGTGGCCTCTTATCTCAAGTCCTAGAACCGGAAGTCCCCACGGCCACTCCTCCTTTGCCCGACAGCTGGCCCTTAATAAGCTTGGCTGAGTCAACCCCAGGTGTCCCAGGGGGCTTGCAGCATTTTATTTTATTCACAAGGAAAGCATGGCAGGTGGACCAGATCAGAGGCGCCCACCCTGCCACTCCCAAACTCCCTGAGGACATAGTACAGGGTCAGTGCAACAGTCAGATGTCTCTTGGGCTTTGGGGACGTCTGAGTAATGGGGGAGGACATCACTCTGAGCCATACCACCCCCCGAGTGCAGGGTCCAAGACACTTACCGATCCTCAGGGAGTGCGGGCTGCAGGCGACCATCAGGAGCCACACGGGAAGCAGCAGCAAAGGCGCCCAGACGCGGGGCATCTTCTATAACTCCTCATGGGGCCCTCTGCTGGTCTGGGCATGACATAACTCTGTAAGAGAGCAGTGGACCACGTGAGTGCAGTCAGTCACCCAGCCCAGCTGGCTGCTCCATCCTTCCCGGGGAGCAAGCTGCTCGGCCCACCTGGAGACATCAGGTGGAGGAGCACTAGTCCCCCCTGAACTTGTGGCCGGGACCCTGAGGAACTCCAGGGCTAGCCCCAGGCAAAGCCACGGAGCTAGCAAGGCCTCTTTGTCCTCCTACCCCATTCCCAGGTGCAAGGCAGCCAGACCTTCTACTACCTTCCTTCTGGGAGCTCTAGAGAGAAATGAAATCCTGACACATGCCAAAACATGGTGTGCCTGGACAGCATTATGCCGCATGCAGTCAGTCACAAAAGGACAGCTACGATATGATCTCACTTATAACGACCCCAGTCAGGGTTTCCAAGGCTATGAATCCGAATGGGAGCAGTCTGCCTCCTCTGTGTCCTGCAGGGCAGGCTGGGGGGTTTCAACTGCCTCTCTTGCAGTGAGCAGCCCGATGCTTCGCCCACCGGTCCACCAGGGCTCCTCGTATGAAGTGCCAGGATAGGCAGATGGTCAGAGTAGATTAGGGGGTTGGAGGGTGGAGGGAAGCAGGGGTGAAGGTTTAGTGGAGGGTGGCAATGATGGAGAAAAGAGTCAGAAGAGGAAAGAGACGATGATGGTACATCAGGAAGCGGTCTATCCATGCCACTGAACTGTAGTGTAAAGATGGTTGCATTGGCAATGTTCTGCTATGTATCGTTTTACACCTTTCAAAAAGCAGAGAGAGAAACAATAGGGCTCGGCTGGTGTTAACTGCAGTTGAGTGGTTTGGGGGCCCCAAATGGAAAGGGGCCCAGGCTGTGACAGGACAAACAGCCCTGTCTCAGAAGACGGACAGCCAGAATGCTCCTTCGAGGCAAGGATGGAGAGACTGCATCTCACACACTCGGGCCAGGTCCTTCCCTGGAGAAGGACATCGTGCTTGATAAAGCAGAGGGGTACAAAAGAGAAAGGCCCTCAAGGAGATGGGCCGACACCGTGGCTGCAACCACGGGCTCGGGCAATAAGGACCATTGTGGAGATGACGCAGGACCGGGCATGGTTTGGTTCTGTCGTGCATAGGGCCGCTGTGGCCGGAGCTCACTCAACGGCACCCAAGAACAACTGTTCAATTTGTTTTCATCTCTGGTGACAAACCTTTAACTACTCTTAAATCATGGGTGAGTATAAGAGGGAGGGATGGGAGAGGCTTAGTCTATTGTCCTTCACGCACGAGGCATCTGCACACTGGGCAAGAGGGGGCTGTGGAGACCTGAGTTCGAATCCAGCCCCTCCTCTGGCCGGCTGTGTGGCCACAGAGCCAGCTTCCCTCTCCGCAGCTCAGTTCCCTCCTATGTCACTCCCACCTCCGGCAACAGCGGCCAACAAGGACACCAGCCGATCCATGTGAGAAGGATGAAGCTCTCAATGATGTGCAGTCTTGGAAACGTTACACTATGAGTTGGGATGGGCACAATGGCAGTGGTTTGAGTTTGGGGCTTGCACACCCATCAGAATGGCTAAGATAAAAGACAGACAAGGTCAAGGGTTGGTGAGGCTGTTGGAGCACTCCCACGCTGTGAGTGGAAGAGTTAACTGGCACAATTATCTTAGAAAAACGGGTCTCCTGGAGCTCACACAGACCCTAATGATGGAGCAATTCCACTCCTAGGAACACATCCAACAGAAACACAGGCATATGCTCACCAGAGACTTGGACTTGAATGTTTACAGCAGGACTCTGGATTTCTCTAAGCTGAAAACGACCCGAATGTCCAGCAACAGATGGAAGGCATATGTGGCTGGAGACCCACACACAAGTTCCTGGGTGGTGCAGAAAGTTAACCGGCTCAGCGGCTGACCCTCCGTGGAGGCTCAAGTCCACCCAAAGACAACACAGAAGAAAGCCTGGGATGGTTTAAAAAATATGGTACCCGAGCTTACATTGTGAACAACACCCCGTTTGCAGAAAGCTATGGATGACAAAGGAAGCCCCAAAGCCCATGCAGAGTCCCCACAATGATTAAGCCTGGAGTGAGTCCCCTCTGGCCAGATCCCAGGGATGTGAGTGGCCTAATCATCAGACAGAGGGCATTGTAAAGCTAAGTGTGGCAGATGCAGTTAAGTTAAAATGTGGTATCTTATCACTTGACCTCCCTTTTGACCCATCTTAAAGTTTGAGGTTTTAATCATTTCTGCTTCCTTTTTTGAACACTGAGGTTGTGTTACGGTGTGCCAACTCATTGTTGGTCTTGTTTGTTCGGTTTTGCATCCTGTTTGTGTTCCGTCTATGAAATCCAGGATAGGAAGAACTACAGGGACAGGAACTGGATGAATAATTACCCAGGGTCATGGCAGGGGAGGCTGAAGGAAATGGGGAGCTAACAACAATGAGGACAAGAAGGAAATGTTCTGAAAAGGATTATGGAGATGACTGCACAACTGTTCTTAATATGACTGAACGATTACATTGTACGATATGTGACATCCATGCCAATAAACACCCTTTGGAAGCCGATGGAAACCCTATACAAGCTCTACTCGGGCACGTGGCTCCCCGGGAGCTGGAGCCTGGGCCGCAGTTCCAGTTCCGATTTTCTCAGAGCCAGTTCTACAGACCATTCGACACAATGTCCTACAGGAATGAACAGGGATGGTCAACAACTGCACACACTGGGATGGATGCATCTCAGAAGCCCACCACTGAGTCAAAGGGAGCAGGCACAGAAGAGTACCTACAACAGATAGGAACTGAAGATACAGGGAATCCAGGACGGATGAGCCCTATAGGACCAGTGGTGTGAGCGGCAAAACAGGGAGGGTAAAGGGAGAATGGGTAGGAAAGACGGAACCGATTACATGGAACTGTGTGTGACCTCCTCCCTGGGGGACAGACAACCGAAAAGTGGGTGAAGGGAGACGTCGGACAGGGCAAGATATGACAAAATACCCATTTATAAACTATCAAGGGCTGATGAGGGAGGAGGGAACGGGGAGGGAGGGGAAAATGAGGACCTAATGTCGGGGGTTTGGGTGGAGAGAAAATGTTTTGAGAAATGATGTACAAATGCGCTTTACACAATTGATGTGTGTATGGATTGCGATAACAGTTGTATGATCCCCTAATAAAATGTTAAAAAAAAAAAAAAGAAGAGTACCTACATACGAACCTCTTTTTCAGAAAATGAAAACGCAAACGCATTCATTCTGTGCTGTTGGCAGTCTAGAGACTGGTTGCCCTTGGGAGCAGGTCGTGCCTAAATGGGGGCCTGAAGGGTCTCTTGGGGGACGGGGAAGGGGGCAGAGGCTGATGATGCTCTGTTTCTTGCTGGTTACACAAGTGTGCTGTTTCTGAAACTATGTGCAGCTATACACTTGTGAGATGCCCCCTTTTCTGCACATATGTTGTGTACAACAGAGCAAAACACTGCCCAGGCCTGCACCGTCCTCACAATCCCTGCTGGGCGTGAACCCAGGGTTGCCGCCCGGGGCCAGTCCATCTCATGGAAGGTCCTCCTTGCCTTCACTTTACCACGATGGCTCCTTCCCAGGGACTGGTTCCTCCTATCACGCGGCCAAAGCTTGAGAGACAGTCTCACCCTCCTTGTTTCGAAGCCACAGTCATGCTAGGTTTCTCCCGCAAAGAGATTTGTCGGACTCGATATCACGCAAACTCAACTCACAGCCATTGAGTCCGCTGCAACTCCTAGCGACCCTGTAGGCTACGGTAGAACTGGCCTTGTGGGTTTGCCAGGCTGTAATTCTTTATGGATGTGGAAAGTCTTGTCTTTCCCCCGAGGAGTGGCTGATGATTCTGAACTGGTGACCTTGCAGTTAGCAGCCCAACACATAACCACTACACCACCAGGGCTATCTGTGCCACCAGAGCTAAGGTGCATCTGCCCCAAGCCATGGTGTTTCCAATTTGCCACCCATGCATGTGACAGTTGGACACGGAATAAGGAAGAGCAAGGAAGAATGGATGCGTTTGGATTGCAGTGCTGGTGAAGCAGATGGAAAGCACCGTGGCCCGTCAAAAGGACAAACAACCGTGTCTTGGAAGAAGTACGGCCAGAGTGCTCCTTAGAGACAAGACTTTGTCTCACATACTAAGGACATGTTGTCAGGTGAGACCAGTCCCTGGAGAAGGGTTTCCTGCTTGTAAAGATGGACTGAATCAGGGGACACACTGGCTCCAACATAAGACCCGTGGTGAGGGTGGCGCGGGAGCATGGTGGGTGGGGTTGTACCCAGGGTGGCCGTGAGCTGGAGCTGACAAGGAGCACCTGACAGCAGCACAGCACACATCTGCATCTCAGTACAAGTTCCTTTTGTTTTTTATTTTATTTTACTGGGGGCTCTTACAGCTCTTATCACACTCCATGCAGATGTCCAATGTGTCAAACACATCTGTACATATGTTGTCATCATCTTTCTCAAAATATTTCCTTTTTACTTGAGCCCCTGGCATCAGTTCTTCATTTTGCCCCCTAGCTCCCCCATGTTCCCTTGATAATTTATAAATTATCCCTCTATTTTTTATGTCTTACACCAACCGCTGTCTCATTTCACCCTCTTTTTTGCTGTCCCTCCCCTGAGATGGGGGCCATATATCGGTCATTGTGATGGGTTCCCCCTTACTCCCCACACCCTACCCTTACCCTCCTAGTATCGCTGCTCCCCTTATTGGTCCTGAGGGGTTTAGGTGCTTGGGATTCCTTGTGTTGTGAGCTCTTATCTGTACCGGTATACATATTCTGGTCCAGCCAGATTGGTCAGACAGAATTGGAGTCATGGGAGTGGCGGGGAAGGAAGCAGTAAGAACTAGAAGGTCGTGTGTTTCGTCAGTGCTATCCTGCACCGACTGGCTCTTCAGGAAAAGCGCCTTGTAATGACAACTGCCGCCCTCTCCACCACCCAGTTCCAGCCATGCCCAGCTCCTCACAGTCTCCTCTGCACACAGCGCTCCCTCTGCAGGAAGCACTCTCCTCCCTCCACACCTGTCCTTGGCTGGAGTCAGGCCACTCTCGATGTGCCTTCTCAGCAGCCTGCAGTGGCCCTGACAGCAGCACGTGGGATGGCGTGTGTCAACCCAGGGGACTCTGTGAGCTTCTTAAGGGCAAGGGCTGACTCCAGTTTGCTGCCGCCTGCCCCGACTCCACTTATACACAACAGGTGCACAGTACACTTGGGCTCAGCAAATGCAAGGCCCCAAGTGACCTCCTGCTACAGAAGGCAGAGGGAACAGACTGAGGCAAATTAGGCCCCAAATCTCTGCCCTGTAACTAGGGGGCACGGGGCTGGACCAGAGGACAGCAAACAAGGTCTGGGGTTGGCATTCTGATTCATCATGACCTGAGCCTGATCATTCAACTGTCGTCTGTCACTCGCTAGAGTGAAAGCTCAGTAGGGGGCAGAAACCTGGCTTGTCATGTCCCCAGGGCCCTGGCATGTGCCAGCTGTGGATCAAGCAGCCCTTGAAAGGATCCGTGAACGGGAAGAACTGTAAAACTCTGGCCCAGGCTACAGCAAGGCTGTACTAAATACAACATTTACATCAAATGCCTTCCACTTCTGCCCGATCCACATGCGGCATAGTAATTATTTTGCAGCCTGCTAATCAGCTGTCAGATTCGCCCGTGTAACTTTTGTTTGATGACAGACGTACACTCTGTTTGTACAAGCCCCGCGTGTGTCGCTCACGACTCCCAAGCCTGCTGACTAAGGAGCCCCTCGCTAACAGCACCATGGCTGAGCTCCCAGGGCCTAGACTGCTGGGGCTGGGGTCAGCTGCATGACCTTGAGCGCAACCATCATCTTCAGCACTTTACACAGATGGCTCAACAGTTTGCATAAGTCTCACTGCAGTCTTTACCTCCTTGAATCCAGAACCAGCTCTGGATTTTACAGATAAGGAAACTGAACTCCAGAGTGGGAAGCACCCAGCTCCCGGGCCAAGGAGGGCCTGTTGTCTGACTCCTGACTTTTCCACTCTATCAGAACTGTTTACATAGGAGAGCAGAAAGATGAAGCTTGTTGATTATTCAATGAACACACACACACACACACACAGAATTTTCAGGTCTTATTTTCAGCTTGATGATCAGATATAGTCTTAGATCCTACCAGGGAAACCCTCATTGACTGAGATCATTTCAGATGAAAAGAAATTATCCTGCAGATACAGCATCAAGAACCCCACCCACACCACCCAGCGGGACCCCTCCTTGGAAGGCCCCCCCTGCAGACAGTGGCTTCTACCCCAGCCGTCCAACCCGGATCAGGCACTTGTACAAGTGCTTCCTGAAATCCTCACGTGGGTAGTCCAACCCCTGCCCGGCAGACACACCTATCCTACAAAGAACACCCATCTCCACCATGCACCACCAGCAGCTCCGCCCCTTACACCCCCATCTCAGTCCAAAGGCACCCAAGCCAGAATGCTGACCTGAGAGGCAGCCTTCATGTCTCCTCCTGCCCCTGCCTCCACATCCCATCAGTCCACTGGTCGGGCCCTGACCACGCTGCTTCCTGAGCACCCGCTCCTCTGCTCCTCAGGCTGGAGCTCCCATCAGCAAGTACTGGACATAGGCCAGAGCATGCTCGTTGGGCTCCCTCCCCTCCTTGGGCCATCTCTCTTCAGTGCTGTCTACACACAGGGGCCAGAAGGGGTCTTACAAACTTGATAATGACAGGCCCCAGGTGCCAAAGTCTTCAGTAGCTCTCCAGGGCAGTGAGGACGCAGGGCTAACTCCTGTCTGCTCTAGCTCAGCTGCCGCCGCTACGGTACCTGGCACAATAGCAGAGCTGCAGCCTGGGTTCCGCAAGCATGCAACCCCATACGTGTGTGTGCTTACTCCCAAGACCCAGCGCATTCTCTCCCCTCTCAGCTGTCCTGGGACCCCTTCCTCAGATGGTCCTAGCACACCTTGAGCCCTCTCCTGCTAGGGCACACAGTAAGCTTACAACCGCAACCTAACCTGGCCGCTCTTCACCGCCCTATAGCTCCAATGGCAAGGATGATCCCAAGCTCCTAGCACCCTCTCTGGCACATAGTAGGTGCTCTATTTCACTGGAATGGATGCAGAAATGACCAGCTAGTGTCCAAAAAGCATGTTCTTGGTTTATCCCAATATGAAACGAATTGCCAACCGGGGCTACAGTTGTCCACTGTGGTTAAGAAACAAGCAGCCTTCAGCCTACATACCACTCTGCAGCCATCGTACTACAGCCCCGGGGAAAGGGAAAAACAACAATTGAGGGTGGGGGGGCGAGGGAAGCCCACCCTGCCCAGCCTTTGGGTCTGTGCTTGGGGCTTCCTCTAATACCATGGAAGGGGGAAGGCGGGGTAGGAGAGGCCATTAAGACACGGGCTTCATCTTACACTGCCACTTGCCAGTTGTACCCCGTGGGAGCGTTATTTCATTTCTCTAAGCCTTGTGTTCTTCATTCGCTATGGGAGGACAATAGCAGCCCTGGAAGGATGATGGGGATTAAATGCTTGTACAGCGCAGCTCACAATAGGCACTGGGCCAGTATTAACCTTTCCGTCGGCATCATTATGGCTATTATCACCCTGGACAACAGTATCCCGTCCCCATTTTGCCAACAGGCAGGCCAAGGCTCAGGGACTTATCCAAGGTCACACGTGCTCACAAACCTCCGGAAGCTGCTTTGCCTACAGTGCGGAGGGACAGCTGGGCAGGATTAAGGGCTGAGGGGGTAAGCAAGGATGGTTGCTGAGGCCCCGGGGCCCGAGCGTCCCACCTACACAGAGCCGGCCCCATCCCATGCAGGTAATTCTGAAGGCAGGGCTCAAATGTAGAACTTTCCCATATCATTGGGGATACCGTCTTAGTCACCCTGGGGTAGCCAGCCCATCAGCAGGGACTCAGGCGTGGGGCCCCGAGTCAAACCAGGCTGGATCTAGCCTGGACTTTAGTTTTTTAAAAGTTAACCAAATAACGGGTTGCTGCGGAGTTGGGGCCAACCCCTGGCGAGTCCTGTGAGTCGGCGAGGACCTGCCCCAGAGGGCGAGCCCGGCGGGAACCTTGCAGAAGCAGCTCGCCAGGCCTGCCTTCCGGAACAACCCCAAGTGGGTGCCAGCGAGTGCAAACCCAGCCCAAGCCATCCATGCCACCTAAGGACTTCTCTGGGCTGCACAAGTGAATCCCATCCAACAGCGACACCCCTGTGACCGTGTCCTCAGGGATAACCAGGGGGGAAAGGGGATGCCCCCCTCACAAGGCGACGGGCATCGGGGGAGCAGGGAGCACACCGGACTTGCCTTGCACAGGCTGGCACCTTGTAGGCACTCGAAAGTCTCTGCTGACATAATGGGGAACCCAGTCAGTTCACGCAGGGGAGTGCTGCTCTGTGCTCTAAGGTGACAGGTTTGGAGGCCTTTCCCAGGGGGAGGTGGTTCATCCCGGCTCTCACCTCCTCAGCTGCAGCTCCAGGGCTGCCTTTAATCACACTCTGCCCCGGGACCACTTACAAGACACGCTTGGCAGCCCTGGCCCAGCGCCTGGGTTCTCATCCCAGCCCTACGACTCACCCCTGCCCACAGTGGTCCCACCAGGAAAAAGCCTGAAGTCCTACCTTCTCTAGAAAACCACACCCACTGCCACTGAGGCTACTCCAAACCACAGCAATCCTACGCAGGTTTCTAAGCTGTAAATCTTTATGGGATCAGACAGCTCATCTTTCTCCTGCAGGGCACCTGGGGGTTTGAACTGCTGACTTTGTGGCTATCAGCCCAACGCCTAACCCAAAGCACCACCAGGGCTCCTGACCTTCCCCAGAACTTACGGCTAATGAGCCCATTCTGACTCATAGTGACCCTATAGGGCAGGGTCGAACTGCCCCTGTGGGTTTCCAAGACTGTAACTCTTCTAGGGAGTAGAAAGCCTCATCTTGCTCTCGAGGAGAAGCTGGTGGTTTCAAACTGCAGACCTTTCGGTTAGCAGACCAGCACATAACCCACAATGCCACCAGGGCTCCTTCAAGGTGCGGCTGGTGGGCTCAAACTGCTGACCTTGCAGTTAAACAGCCCAACGTGCAGCCCACTGTGCCATCAGGGGAATACCGCCGCGTTCTCCAGAAGGGGAACTTGCTGTTCACTGAACGCTTCAAAATCTCAAGCCTGGTCAGCTTTCTCCAACTGCAGGTCCTTAAGTAGGTCTTTCTGATTGAACTCCAGGGGAGGGACCTTACCCTTCTTACTTACTGGGGCACCTGGAGCACCACAACAGTGCCCGGTGCAATTCAGATGCAAATAGATGTTGTCAAACGTACAAAACCAGCTGCCCTTAATTGTGCCTTTAGCTCCATAACCAAGGTGACCAGATTTTAACTTTGGTAAAGCGGGATGCCACTGATAAAACTCATATCCTGGCGAAATAGCCACAAGGCAGCCCAAAACCGTATACCCTAGCTTGTCACGCATTCTTTCCAAAAATGGGGACTTTTTTAAAACTCTGCGGGACGCGGGAGAAATTGTTAAAAATCGGGACGTCTGGTCACCTTATCCATAACTACCTGGAAGCTCTGGGGGAGCAGGGAGCACACACCCTCCTGACACACTTACTATGGTGCCTCATAGGAGTCAAGGCTCAACAAATAAAGGTTTACTGGTTCAGGACCAGTGTACCCACTCCAGCTGACAGGCCCCAGGCCCCATGGGGTTTCAGGGCTGGCTCGGCTGAAGGAGCCCACCAGGCCAGGGCCCAGCCTCCTGACAGCTCACCGAGTCCAGGTGGGGAACACACTGTCTGGACTCGGCCGGCCAGTGATGCCTGCCGCTCTCCCTCCTCCTGGTGCCTGAGCAGTACCCTGCCCGTCTCTCTTGCACAGAGGTTATTGCACCATTAATTGTGATTTCCAGGGTGGGTGTGGGGAGAGGCTGACAGCCAGCAGACAGGGCTGCGTGGAGGGCCGGATGGAGGAAATCAGAGGGGCAGCCAGATTAATGACAGCGCTTCTCTCGGCTGTGGGCAACAAGATCTTGATTACTCCTTGTGATGCTCCGGGCTCCTCAAGACAAATGGACATGGGCTTCTCCCTTGCTCTGGCTCCTCCTTGCTGGGGTGGGGGAGGGAGGTTTCCCTTCAGCCTCCAGGCTGCCTGGCAAGTGGATAAAGAGGCAGGGTGGCATGGCCAGGGGAACAGGGCCCACGACAAACCCCAGGGTGTCCACGACCAGGAATCAACCTTGTGGCCCTAATGCAGCTGGGCACCCCTTTGTAGGCACCCTGTCTCCCCAGAAGCCATCAGTGTGATCCCTGGGAGTCAGGGGCCTAGGTGTTAGGCACCCTCTGCTCCTCACTAGCACGGGGTGTCCATCGGTCACTGCACCTCTCGGAGTCGATTTGTCATCCTGTGACACGAGAAAGTTAGGCAAGATGGTCTCGGAGGTTCTTTTTAGCTCTGAAATTCTGGAGATCTAGAAATAGATTTTTATCATAACAGACCCTGGTTCCTGAGCACTTACCACGTGCAAGGTTCTATTCCACTGCTTCCTGGACATTAACGCATTTGCTCCTCAAGAACCCTCTCGGGTTGATGTTCTTGTGTCTCTCTCTACAGACTCAGACCCCAAAGGCTGAGACAAGTAGGGGGACGAGCCAGGGTGGCTCGGCTGGTAAACGAGGGACCAGGCCTCCAGCCCCAGGACCCTGGTTCTTGCCCACCACTCACTGAGCCCACCTTCTCTAAGGGCCTCCAGACCTAGAGATGGCTGGAAGGTGATGATAGTGACTATCATCACGTGGAATTAAAGCTGCGTTAAATGTGGGTACATCTGGGGCCCAGCAGAACACCGAGCCACTGGGGCACAGCCACAGAAGGAAGAGTGTCGCAGCAGGGTGTGACCAAACGATCAGCCCAGGTGACCCCACCCTCCAGGATCTCTCCTCACTGGACGGTCCCACAAGCTGGTGATGGCGTGTGCCGTGTCTGGCTAGGCAGGGGTGCGCCGCATGGGGCTGGGGAGCAGGATGCAGGGTGGCTCATCAAGGCAAGCCAAGGGCCAGCGATGGGCCCAGTTACCTGGCCCAGGCCTGCCTCTGGGGAGGACACCATGGCAGAGCTCGGGCATCACTCCAGACACACAGCTCAAGCCGCCGTTCTGCCATGAAGAGGTCTCCCTCTCGAGCACTCAGGTGCGACAGGTCTCCTGTCTTTTCTCCTCTCCAAGTCACCATCCAGGTAAATGTCATGCTGAAGGCCCTAATCCACAGGCCCGAGCTGATGCCTCAGCTTCCGGTCTCAGTGCCGCCCCTCTGTGCCCTAAAGCTAAGGTGACCAGATTTAAAGCAGGACACCATTGACCGGGGAGCGGGAGGGGGGGGGTCCTGATTAAAAATGTGGTCTATATGGACCAAATAGACCGTTTCCTAGCTTGTCGTGCATGCTTGCCAAAAATCGGGACTTTTTTTAAAACGCCAAAAATCAGGACTGTCCCGCTGGTCACCTTACCTTAAACTGGTTACCTCCCCTCTGAGAGCTTCATGCTCACGACTGTAAAACTCTGGGTGACAGTAGCCCCCTGGAAAGGGAGTAGATAAGATTGCTCCGTGCAATGCAGTCAGTAACTATGAGCTTCCTTTCTTTCATCCCTGGCCTTTGCCCACGAGGCTGCCTTGTAGAGACTGTGGATGGGGGTCTTTGACGCGCCCATGTCTTTTCCCAACCAGAAGACCTCGCATGCCCAGGTGTTCATGTTACTCATAGCCCTCAAAATGCTGCTGCAAGGAACCCACCCAGCAACATGCCCCAAGGAGGTCAGTCCTCTCTCTGGCTCAGCTTGGCAGAAGACAAGAACCATGGGTTGGAGGTAGGAGACCGGGGTGACCTTGGACACACCACTGAACCACGCAGGGTTTCCATCGCCTCTCGTTTAAAATGCACAACACTATCGTATTCACACCATCTCTCTTCCAGGGTCAATAAGAGGTTCAAATGAAATAATGGATGTGCAATTATTTTACAGATGAGTAAAATGCTTTCTAAGAAAAGGGGTGAATGTGGCTCCTCTACCCAATGACCGCCCAAAGCATAGAACTATTCTTAACACACGTTCTGTGTCTACTTGGCTAGGGGAGATGCTCAGTGGATTGGCACGGAAGGCCTAGTAATCGCTCCTGGGGAGATCTAGCACAATGTAATCACCTCCCCAATGAGATCCGCTGTGAGCAGCCAATCAGCTGAAAGGAAATGTCCTTGGGAGAACGGCCTTCGCCCAATAGAAGTGGGAAAGCTTGCCTGCTTTTTGCTGGGTCGGGATTCTGTTTCTGGCTTATCACCCATCGCTGGTTCTTTGGACTTGAGCCAACAGCCTGCCAGATGCCCACTGATCCGAGGAGTCATCAGCAGCCTGCCACGGCTTACTTTGCTGATCTGGGACTCATTTGCCTCTGCGGTCATAAGCCTGCTATCTGATCTGCTGATCTTGAGTTTGTCAACCTCGGCAGCTATGTGATCAGGAGACACCTCTACCAGCCTGAATCTGACCACAGACTTGGAACTCGCCTACCTCTACAACTATTAGGCCACTTCCTTGATATAAACATGCATAGATGAATATAGGTGTGCATATATACGCTTCACTGGTTTTGCTTCTATTGAGAACCCGGCCTAAGACAACATGGCTGCTAGGAAGTAGTCCTTCTTCCATTGAACAATACTGCCGTAAGGGTCTGCTGTAGGTGAGGCAGCACTCTAACCCTCGAGACACAGCCACTGCCCTCATGGAGCTTACAGTCTGGGCAAAGCAACACTCATCACACTGTCATATACCCGGATGCGTGGCGAGATGGGCACCAAGTGGACTCTAACCCATGTCTAACAGACTCGTGTGTATCCTGTGTCTGAGAGCAACAGTGGCTGGTCCTACCCCATCGTTCTGATTGTCAGTAAGGCCCGAGCCCACTGTTGCAACTGCTGTGTATTTAGAGTGCCTCCCGTTCAGTGGGCTCCTCTTCCGGCAATACGATCTGAGAATGTTCTGGTAGGCACCATAGGGTTCCCGATAGCTAATTTCAGAAGTAGATTTCTGGGCCTTTCTTCCTCGGCTGTCTCAATCTGGAAGCACTGCTGACACCCATCCCCCAGAGATGACTATCCCTCTGGCCTGGCTTCCCACATCACAGCCACACAGCAGCCAGCACAGCAGCCACCACAGCACAACCATGGGTGGGAGGCTCTGAGAAGCAGACACTATAGTGACAGCCTGGCAAGGAAAAATACAAGGTGCTCTGAGAAGGTGTGGCAGGGAGGCGTGACCTTGCCTGTAGGGGAGGGAAAGGCATGAGGATGTGACCTCTGACCTCATTTAGGCAGGGAAGCCTTAGTCAAGAGGTTGAATGGTGCCTTGCATTGGGTGACTCTCCTGCACAAGACCTCTTTAAAGTGTTGACAAGCAAGGAGGTTACTTTGAGGACTAAGGTGCAACTGACCGAACGAGAGTATTTTCAGTCACCTCTTCTGCATGGGACAGTGGGGCACGGGCTAAAGAAGACCGAGGAAGAATCCAGAACTGATGCATTTGAGTCATGGTGCGGCGAAGACTGTTGAAAGCACCACGGCCTGCCGAAAGAACAAACAAATCGGTCTCGGAAGAAGTACAGCCAGAATGCTCCTGAGAGGCCAGGAGGGCGACCCTTGGTCTCACGTACTTTGGACGTGTGGTCAGGAGAGACCAGTCCCTGGAGAAGGGCATCATGCTTATAAGGGAAAGTGGAGGGGCAGCAAAAAAAACGAGGAAGACCTTGCACAAGATGGACTGGCACAGTGGCTACATTGATGGGCTCACACGAAGATCAACAGTGAGGACGGCGCAGGGCAGGCGTCAGTCCTCGAGAGTCAAGGACTAGGCAGCACCGAATGACAACAGGCGGGAAGGGCGCTGGGAAGAAAGGAACGTCACACAGCAGGGGCGATGGAGGTGGAGACTGGGGCCTGTGACTGGACACAGCCTGGGGAGTGTCAGGAACGGGAGCGCGACCGCCGAGGGTGGAAAGTCCCAAGATTCTTGTCTCCAGGTATGTGCTGCGTGTCTGGTCTCTCTCATTAAGTGTGGTCTCTCATGGACAAAAAGGCCGATCGCCCCCTCTCTCT